AGAAACACGGATTAAAAAGATGACAGAAGAAAATATAGCGATTTAGAAAATATTCGAAGCTGTCCAGGCAACTTAATTGCAGCGTGCAATAAATAATGGTACTTTCGCTAATGTCTGAATAAGCGAGTACGTTGGTCTCCTTAAGCGTGCTTTAAACGACCCTGCAAGATATGCAATCATTACAGTATTAAAAGACTATCAACGACCTGACGTTGCGTGACACCGGGGTGAGATCACCACTCTTGAAATCCCCCATTTTGAAACTGACCGTGAATCATCCTGGAAGCATGCATTTTCATTCCGGCTGGAAGGCTGAAGAGCCGCGTGCCAGCTTTCGATACGCCTACCTGTCGAACCGGAGTAACGAACAGACAGCTACGTCCAAGTAAATTGAAAATGCAACGAAAAACCGGGAGGTATTAAGTTCACTTATCTTTGTGTGAACCGGAGAGATAATGGAACTCCTTGCGGCTTTGAAATTTTTATTCTGCGCGGTTCAACTACTCGAGTGTTCTCAGCGGTATGGGAAAGCATATTGCAGGGGAATGAATGTGTAGATTTCAAATTTTCAAATTTATGGTAGTTGGGATATGGAGATTTTGAGTAGTGGATTTCGGAATGGGGAGTAGGGATATTGGGAATTAGGAATATTTGGATTGAGGGGTATTGGGAGTCAAGGCGAGGGGTATTGGGATACAGTCTAGGGTTTTTGGTGTGTAAAGTAATGGGGTCTAAGGTCATTGGAGTCGAAGGATATGGGAACCTAGGGGATACTGGAATCTAGGAGTGCTTTCTGTAGATTTTAGGATTTGAGGATGTTGGTATTTAGAGTGGGACCTAGAAGTATTGGAACTTAGAAGTATTGGGACCTAGGGAGTATTAGAACCTAGGGGTATTGGGACTTAGGAGTACTGGGACCCAGAAGTATTGGTACCTGGGAGTATTGGGACATCGGGTGACTGCGACCTAGGAGTATTGGGACCGATAAGTTTTGGTACCTAGGGTGATTGGGACCTAGAAGTATTGGGACCTAGAGTGATTGGAACCTAGAGTGATTGGGACCTAGGAGTATTGGAACCTAGAGTGATTGGTACCTAGAGTGATTGGAACCTAGAGTGATTGGGACCTAGGAGTATTGGGACCTAGAGTGATTGGTACCTAGGGTGATTGAAACCTAGGAGTATTGGGACATAGAGGTATTGGGGAACTAGGAGTGTTGATACCTAGAGTGATTGGGACGTAGGAGTATTGGGAGCTAGAAGTATTGGAACCTGGAAGTATTGGAGTGATTGGGACCTAGAAGTATTGGGACCTATAGTGATTGGGACCTAGAGTGATTGGGACCTAGGAGTATTGGGACCTAGGTGTATTGGTACCTAGAGTGATTGAAACCTAGAGTGAGTGGGACCTAGGAGTATTGAGACCTAGGTGTATTGGTACCTAGAGTGATTGGGACCTAGGAGTATTGGGACCTAGGTGTATTGGTACCTAGGGTGATTGAAACCTAGGAGTATTGGGACATAGAGGTATTGGGGAACTAGGAGTGTTGATACCTAGAGTGATTGGGACGTAGGAGTATTGGGAGCTAGAAGTATTGGAACCTGGAAGTATTGGGACCTCATCAAATTCACAGAGCCACCCTACAAGCTATCACGAAAAAAGTCAAAAACAAAGATTCGAAGACAGAATAAAATAGTTCTAATCCGAGTATTACACTATACAAGATGTCGCATTCGTAACGAAGTATTTGCTTTCGAATACAAGTGGAAACAAATGAGTTTTCTTTAAAAAGAGATCGTGCAAAACTGCAACGACACCAGAAACCATCAGACGCAGTCGTGACGTTAATGCAACGAGCCATTACAGGGGCAACGCTAATTACCACGCAACGAACGCATAAAAACAGAACAGTCGATCGATCTTTCACGACGAACGAGCGGTTTTGGCCCTCTGATTGCAAACTGCGTTCGTGGAACACCTTCCTGGATCAAGGTAATGGATGCGCGATCGTTTCTCTTCATGGAAACGTATTAATTATTTTCGTTGAATCCCGCCTGAACGAGAACACCGTGATTCTTCTTGGATAACGAACGGACGCGTCTTCTTTTTTTCCTTTAATCCGCTGAAAATGCTGAAGAAACTCCCCCCTCTGGATATCTCATTTATTACAGTTTATTGCTCGATGATGTTTCACCCTTTCCACCCGATGATTTAAGTACTTTTTTTTTTCTTAATAACTCGTGGAGGCAAAGTGACGCCAATTAACCTTTTGTATCAGCTGATCCCGCAAGACTTATGGGTTGGGTACTTACGGTGTAAGTAATGTCGTCACTCATCCTACGAGAACTCCCTGTGTGTCACCATCGGAATTTAATGGGCTTCTACGTCTTCATAAATCATGTTATCAGAAATCTTTCTATTACATAATTTTGATTTAATTCAATAGTTTAACGGACACCCTACTGAAGAGATACAGAGAATTCAAAATTCAAGTAATAATATTCCATCGAGGCAATACAACTGCTTTATTTATGATAATTTTTCGACTCTCTTTAAGCGCACGAAAAATATCTAATCTAAAAATACCTTTCAAATTTTATACAAATTTTGAAAATTATTTGCACGAAATTTTCGTGTTAACACCACAGTTCGCGCGTGCGTAAGAAAAGGGAACCGTTCCATCGTCGAAATAGATCGGTGGATGAGTTTATGGCGGAGATTCGAAGCTTGTCGTTCGAACGCGCCTGCAGGAATTCAATTAGCTCCGGGTGACCCGGTGCTCGATCCTTCCCCAGGATCGTACGACTCGCTCGAGGAAGCTTCGTTGCATCATCGAGCCGGTAATTACCGTGTGTGGTACAGTTAGGGGGTCGTTGGTGGTCCACGTAAATTAACGTGGGTCACCGTACAACCTCCGTGAACCTTCCGATCACAGCTTCGTACTCTGCTCCTTGCTACGTCGTTCATCCCGACTTGTTACTTCATGTTTAGTGTTAACACGTTCGCTACGACATTATAATAACTGCTATCGAACATACGATCGCTTCATTTTGCAATTTAATCTTTCAATTTCCTATTTCACGGAGCTGGTATTAGTCGTTAATAACAGGCACACGGTGTGTGGTCTAGTACGTGTTGACTTCGTACTGGCAGTACATTGACAATACAATGCGTTGCAATATAACGCGAGGAAATCTAATATGTGGCGATATAGTAAGTAGGGATATAGTGCATGGCGATATAACGCGAGGTAATCTAGTATGTGGCGATATAACAAGTGGAAATCTAATATATGGCGATATAACGCGAGGTAATCTAATATGTGGCGATATAACGCGAGGTAATCTAGTATGTGGCGATATATAGCGCGTAGCGATACAACACGAGAAAATCTAATATATGGCGATATAACGAGAGGTAATCTAATATGTGGCGATATAACGCGAGGTAATCTAATATGTGGCGATATAACGCGAGGAAATCTAATATATGGCGATATAACGAGAGGTAATCTAATATGTGGCGATATAACGCGAGGTAATCTAATATGTGGCGATATAACGCGAGGTAATCTAGTATGTGGTGATATATAGCGCGTGGCGATATAACATGTGAAAATCTAATATATGGCGATATAACGCGAGGTACTCTAATATGTGGCGATATAACGCGAGGTAATCTAGTACGTGGCGATATATGGCGCGTGGCGATATAACACGTGGAAATCTAATATATGGCGATATGACGCGAGGTAATCTAATATGTGACGATATAACGCGAGGTAATCTAATATGTGGCGATATAACGTGAGGTAATCTAGTATGTGGTGATATAACGCGAGGAAATCTAATACATGGCGATATAACACGAAGTAATCTAATATGTGGTGATATATAGCATGTGGTAACATAACACATGAATATCTAGCGCACTGCTATATAACGCGTGGAAATTTATTGCACTGCAATGTAGCTCGTGGAGATTCCGTATACGGTGATATAGTGCGAGGTAATAGGATACGTTAAGACTCAGCGCGTTAAAATATGAAATGCGTTGATTTCGCGCATGGCAATATAGCATGCGACGATTTGACGCGTCGTAATTTATCCCGTCACAATGTAGCAGCACAATGTATTGTAACGTGGGAAAAGTTAGCGCGTCGTAATATAACACGTAGCAACGAACGCATGGCAATATAACATGTAGCAATATAACGGCTAGCGACACAATGCACAGCAATATAATGTCCTTCGATATAACGCGTGATAAAATATCGGCTAGCAACACAATGCATAATAACATAACGCAAAACGGCACAACGCATGAGTAATCTGTTGCTATATTTATGAAAGTTCACGATAATTCTCAGCCATTTAAGTCTTTAAGTTTTATAATTGATGAAAAGTCGTCAGTTTTTTCCAAGCGAATAATCTTACTTTCTAACGTTTCTACTATTAACATGTCATCGTATATCGTTCTGCGTAGTTGCAAAATAATTACTATGCACTTACGAAGTTACTTTGCCGTGGGTGATCGATGATCTGTAACGCGGTGCCTTTCTCCGTGATCGTTTCTACCGTTTGGAACAATGTTATCGAGCCACGTTTCACGGGTATCACTATACTTCGTGTAATTACTACGTACCGGCGGTAAGTTCATCGATGACCCACCGTGAACGATGGCAAGGAAATCGATCGATCGACGTTTGAAACGCCGTGAAAGTTACTGTTCTATTTTAACAATTCTCTGGTGCACGTGCAAAATCGTATCAAGTTAAACTTTTATTAAGATAACGACATTCATATGTTACATATGAATACATACATCATATGTTACATACGAATGTTCTCTACTGATGTTTATTATAATACTATCTTATTTTGTCGCTACTCTTTTATTTAATATTCCAACATGCTACGAAATTATTCGGCTTGAATTCTTTTGCATGTGCATTACAGAACTGTTCCTCGAATGTAGATACAGAAATAAATGATACTCACTCGTTTCCTTTCGCCCTATGTGTCTTGACCCTGAAACAAACATCCAGTATGATTCGTTCGTTGAATTAGCACTTTCCTATTTTACACAAAACAATATCTTACACAGACTATGATATCGACTACACAAAATAAAAACACTTGTCAGTTTGATACACAATAACTTAGCTAAACCAGGTGTCGCAATGAACCACACACATTTCAGTTAATAATTGTACACAAAGCCAGGTTAAATCAACTAGCAACTCGATGACCAAAAATCAGACGGAAGCACAAACTCAGAGTGAAAGAAGCGAAGCGAATGAGGAGTCCGTGTCCGTTGTATCGCGACCGCTTTTCATCGCGCGTCCAACTCACGTGCCACGTTCCCGGCAACGACATTTCCTGTTTCCTTCCCAGTCACCTGGCCAAAACCGGAAAATCCACGAGACCCATTCGTTATCCGACGGTCAAGGGGTCCGGCGGTAACCGTTCTGACGGATATCATCCTCGTGCCGGCCTGCATCCGCGTAAACTAGCCACACCGATGAATTATTTCGTGTTCGTGCCCGTGAAATAAATCGTTTCGTAGGCGACGCCGATGACGGAGAGATAAATGCTTGATGGATACGAGCTGTCCACGGTAGCGGTACTCAAAGGAATTCTTCAACGCTTGAGAGAAAGAGATAGCGTTTCACGTTGTTGCCGAGAAGACTTCTGACCCCTAGACGATCGTGAGCCTCTTTCTTTTTCTCCCAAACGATGCATATGAACACGGGGTGACTCGTTCGAAGGCCGGGTTAACGACGGATAGATTTTTGGACGATTAGACGCCGAGGAATTTGTATGCAAATTATCCACGTGATTTGCGAACAGTTTACTGCGACGCGATTTGTGACTACTATCGCTTTACTACGTATTACATCTTCTCTGTAACTTGTCCTCTGACTTCTTATTAAATTTAAACGTTTCTCGAGTTTAACGTTCTTAACAAGTGTTTAATTTCAGTTCTTAAATATACAATTTCATATGCTTCGAAATCTCCTTGTTCGTAAGTTTGCATGTTCATACATTTGCAAATTCAGATTTCCAAGAATCTAAATTTTCAGGCCCAAAATTTCTACATACGTTAACTTCCGATATGAATATTCCACGGCGTAAAGTCAACACGTGAACAGCCAGTAAGGAGTAGTTCTAAGCTTTTATTTTCTAAAATAAAAGACCTTGATGAGGTTCTAAATGCCGGTTCGGAAGACATTGGCAAACAAGAGAAAGTAGTCGAAGCGTGTATCTGATATCGTCAGTAGTAAAAACTCGATTAATTTATGGAAAAATGAAGTCCAGTGATTCGTACGTGATTGCATAGAACATATTACTCTCGTAGTTAATTAATTGCCACGACAAACCATTCGAACGATTATCGTGAAATATTTCTCCTAGACGAATTCAGGCATTGCAACGAAACCGGTAAAAACTGCTGATCGTTTTAACACGAAATCACGCGTGATTATTATCCGGATGCAGTAAAAGATCATCGTATAATAGCTTGCACCGAAACGATTTATTGCGCGTAATTACGAAGTGGTGGCAGTTTAAGACGCCTTTACAGCTTCGTACGCCGTTGCGACCGTTCATTCACTGAGAAAACGACCGGGCGACAATAAAGCCAATAAACGTTCTGATCACGGCCAAGTATCTCGGTGCTCCTATTATACGACCCGTTATACTAGCTCTTCATTCGACAAATTTCTGATTTGTCTTCGTAATTGAAGAATAAATGACAATATAACGCGACTAATAAATGTTCATAGCTCAACACTGAGCAGTTAGGATTCTTCGCTACTTCTATGTAGATAAAAGCAAACATCTTTTTGTATACTGCTTATCCATCATTCAAATCAATATCTTTGATACAATCAATAAAACATATCATCAAATCAATATTTATAGATAAATATTTCTTGCCGACACGCATATGTATCTTGCTACACAAGATTGACTGCAGAAGCTTTTAAAAAATGGAGACTGTCAGAATATCGAAAGTCCCAGGTCGCGCACGTGCCCGTTTTTCAATGAGCCACCGGGAAAACCTACTGGCCAATGAGACGTAAACAACGTATACCCAGAAGACCAAATTAATTCTTCAACGGTCACGTTCGCATAGAGTCGTTTGTATAATTCGCTAGTTTGCAGGGCGAACACGATGCACCTGACTAGGAAAGTATCTGCCAACCAATAATGCACTGTTCAGACACGTTTGAAACACGTCTGGCTTTCTTTATCGCTGTAGCATCAGGTGCACGAAATTTCACGTTGACCTTTTTTCTCCCTGATCGATAGAACAGTGAAAGCGTACTTTTCCAGGCCTTTGATCCTCAAGATTTTGCTAAAAGAAAGAAAATTGGTAGTGTATAAATTTAGGAATATTTGAGAATTTAAGTTTGTAAGTTTACCTAAGAAAATCCAGAGACAATCTTAAAATCCTGCTACAACAAAAACATGAAAACTTGTAAGAAAGTTGTCGCACACTTCTCCCTTCCATCTCCTTTCTTCCTATTGGGTGCACAGCACGTGCAAATGATGCAGAAAGAATGTAAAATTGGCGTAGGGTTTCTTGGAACAGGCACGCGTTCCACGAAAGTGTCGCTGCACGTTTCGAAAGTGAAACATTTGCCAAGGCGTGTCTGGGACTAATTATGCGAGGCACGGCGCTAATTAGCTGCTGACTGGCTATTTCACGGAAAATGCTGTCTTTATATTTAGCTGTATGTGCCTGCAGCAACAGTGGAAACAGATTAAACCTCTGCTTGTTTACCTCCCCCTGTGTGCTCGCAAACTGTGCACAGTTGTCGGTGCTGTTGGCATTGGATTACGTTGAAGCTTCATTATACCTATCGTGGCATTAGGGTGAGGTTCATTGTCCAGAGAGACAGAGCGTGCTTGATTATGCGCAGGAAAAGTAGATTTAGTTGTTCACGATGCAATAATGGGATAGGTCTAGGTGTGTTTGACTCTGTATACTTTCCTATGGCTGCAACAGCTTCAAAGGGAACAACGCTTAATGTAGCAATAGATTACGTTTCATTATGCCTAATACGGCTACAATTTAAATGTTGCTATTGCAGTGATAAATTGAGTTCAGAGACAATTTAGCATCGCTGAGAATTGTATGTAGATAGATTTACCGTGGCAAAGTGGGCTTACAGACACGTGGTACCAAGACAAATTATGCTCGTGCATAATTCTGGCTGCAATGATATTTAGATATCACCGGTGAAACAATTATGTCAAGTAGACATTGCCAAAGAGGCTTGTACCTTTGAATAATTTTCTCTGTGGAATGTAGTACAATATGCATTAAGCAATTATTACTTCTACGCTATTATGCCTTGGAAACATTCCATCTTTATCTGCTGAATACAAAAACATACTTTGGCTATATTTAGCTCATGCTTGGATAATAGATTCAGTTAAATGTATTACCTAAGGAAGTAAGAAGGGAAAGAAATTTCAAGTTAATCATTACTAAATTAACAAATAAAATTATATTTACCTTTGGTATTCTTAACAATATGTATTATAAATATGTCTTATACATTAATTTTCACTTTGACAAAGCAAAAGTAATGGTAGCTTCAGCAAAGATCCACAAGTGACTTTTTTAAATAAAAACTAAGAGAACGCAAGTCTTCAAACGGTAAAATATATATAAAAAAAGAAGTAGTACTTAAAGTTGTTTTTATCCTAAGGGAATAGTTTAGATGGTAGCATAGTGGCAAGCGGATATACGGGAGGAAAAGCTGGCGAGGGAACCGGCGTCGTGCTCGGTAAACTATGACGAAGGTTAGGTTATCTCAGGACGCGGATCTAAACGTTTTAACGTGTACCGGCACGCTTCTAGCACAGAGTACATTGTCATTTTATGAACAGTCGGCTCTTGCTGCACGACAGACGACACAACTGCTACAATTTGCGCGTGTAATTGCACCACTATCAATTTCATTTCACCAACGAAACATCAACACGCGCCCTGTCACTTTTGCGGGACGCTCTACTGCCGTTGCCTAGCAACCGGCGCTTATTTACCTTATGGCGCGAAGATTAATTCGATCGAAACGTTCTTGCGTTTAATGATTATTTTGGCGTGTGAGAACTTGGAGAATTGGAAATTTGGATTTAAGGAGGGTTTATTTGCGTATTGGGAAATTAGGGAGGTGGAAATTGAGAAGTTTATGGATTTGTAAAATGGGGAATTGGGGGATTTGGGACGTTGCAGAGTTGGAAGTTGGGGAATTGGGAATTGGCGAAATTGGAAGTTGGAAAATTGGGAATTTGTGGAATCGGGATATTAGCAAATGGGGGATTTGGGAATCGGGCAAATAGGAAATGGGGGATTTCGGAATCGGGAGATTAGGAAATGGGGGATTGGGGAATCGGGAAATTAGGAAATGGGGGATTGAAGAATCGGGAAATTAGGAAATGGGGGATTTGGGAATCGGGAAATTAGGAAATGGGGGATTTGGAAATCGGGAAATTAGGAAATGGGGGATTTGGGAATCGGGAAATTAGCAAATGGGGGATTTGGAAATCGGGAAATTAGGAAATGGGGGATTTGGGAATCGGGAAATTAGCAAATGGGGGATTTGGAAATCGGGAAATTAGGAAATGGGGGATTTGGGAATCGGGAAATTAGCAAATGGGGGATTTGGAAATCGGGAAATTAGGAAATGGGGGATTTGGGAATCGGGAAATTAGCAAATGGGGGATTTGGAAATCGGGAAATTAGGAAATGGGGGATTTGGGAATCGGGAAATTAGCAAATGGGGGATTTGGAAATCGGGAAATTAGGAAATGGGGGATTTGGGAATCGGGAAATTAGCAAATGGGGGATTTGGAAATCGGGAAATTAGGAAATGGGGGATTTGGGAATCGGGAAATTAGCAAATGGGGGATTTGGAAATCGGGAAATTAGGAAATGGGGGATTTGGGAATCGAGAAATTAAGTAATCGTGGATTTGGGAATCGGGAAAATAGGAAATGGTGGATTTGGGAAT